CAGCAAGCAGGGTTGTGTCATCTGCATAATACAGATTGTTGATAGATCTTCCACCAATCTTGACCCCACATTTCTCCTCATAGAGTCCAGCCTCCCGGATAATCTGTTCTGCATACAGGTTGAAAAGGCATGGAGATAGGACGCATCCCTGGCGTACGTCCTTCCCAATTTTGAACCATGCAATGTTCCCTTGCTCTGTTCTGATGACTCTCTAGTGTGATTAATTGCCTCTGAAAACTCACCAGGGGATATATTTCCCCCCCCCCCAACCCCGAGATTATATCCTCTGAAAAACTACTGGATAGTCAGCTATGAGTTGGTTCAAATTGAATGGAATTGAGAACTGTTGATGTTGTTATGTGCCATTTAGTCACCTGTGACTCAAAGCAGCTCTAAGTACAATAGCTCAGAAACCTGTGCTATCCTGAGCCAGTCTCACTGACTCCCACCACACCTAATCCCATTGCCCAGTTACAGTGTCAATCCATCTTATTTAGGGTCTTCCTGTACTTCCACCCTTTGAGCATGATGTCCTTCTCTAAGGACTGGTCCCTCCTGGCCATGTGCCCAAAGTTTGTGAGACAGAGCTTCAAAATCCTTGCCTATGGGGAGAAACTTGGTTTCACCCTCACCAAGACAGACATTTGTTCTCCTGGTGGTCCATGGTATGTTCAAGACTCTTCTGCAGCACCACCACTCAAAGACATCAATTCTTCTTCTGTTATCCTTAGTCATTGTCCAGCATCTCAAATAAACCACATCTTGGTTCAGGTGCACCTTAGTCTCTAGACTAACATCAATTGCTTTTTAGCTCTTTGGAGAATCACTGAGAGATTTCCCCTAAGCAATTCATCTTTTGATTTCCTGACTGCTGCTGCCAAAAGAAGAGAGAGAAAGAGAGAGAGAGAGAGAGAGAGAGAGAGAGAAGAGATAATAGAGAAACAGTTTTGTTGTTATTGTTGTTTTTGTAAGGTTGAGTCAGAACTGACCCATAGCTTATCCTCTGGCAAGTTTTCAGAAGCAGTTAACTGCACGGGAGGAGAATGTCCATCCTTCTCCCACAGAGTAACTGGTGAATTTGAACTGTGTTTTTGGGATTATGGCTTAGCTTCTATATATAGTTAATTTTACGTTAAAGAGTGACCTATTACGCTATTGATTTGTAAGACATGAAATAAAAAGTTAAGAGGCTATGTGAAGTTTTGTCTTAAATATGTTGGGCATGGTGCTAGGAGAGTTTTTTTCCTTGAAGAGGGATATCTTGCCTGAGAAAATGGACGGGCAGTGAAAGAGAGGAAGGCTTTGAACCTGGCTGATGTGGTGACAATGGCAATGGGATCAAGTATGTCAGATATTGTGAGAATGTCACAGGATAGGACAGTGTTAAGATCTGTTGTTCATAAGGTTTGATTATGAGTCATACTCAATTCAGTGGCACTTAACCACTATTGTTAGTGTTGATTGCCTTCGAGTGGAGCATGACTCATAGCGACCCTATGAACATAAGGCCAGAAGCCCCTCTATAGCTATCAACATTTATCAAAGTTCATAGATTTTCCAAGAGGCATGTTGTTTAGAATGTGAATGCCACTCCTGCTTCCAAA